GAACGTCTGCAAAATTCATACTTCTAAAACCGATTTTAACCTTTTGTACAAATTTTCATCCCTTATTTCTAAGGGATGAATGTCAAAAATTAGCTTCTAGGTACTCACTTTCGTCACTTAAGAAAACTCTGTACAAAATTTCATACTCCTAGAACAACATTTTTTGTACAAAATTTCACCCCCCAGTTTCACTACCCTTAGGCTATACATTTCCAAAAATCGCTTATCAATGTTCAAATGCGCCACATCTGTGCAAAAGTTCATACTCCTAGTAGGTACAGATTTTTTTTTTGTATAATTACATCCCTTTATCTAATTACACCCCTTATGGGTCGAATTTTAAAAAATTACTTAGTAGTGCTCATCTTAGAGAACGAATTAATATTCTCCGTATTTACTCCAGTTTCCTAATACTAGCACAGATAACACATAATCATACTAGTTAATTTTTTATTGGAATAGAAGTAATTTTTATTAGAAGGTACAAAAAAATTGAAAATCTAAAATTTTTGTTTTTTTTTCATAGCCTTAGGATGCCTCATGTACTATCGAATATACGAAATATATAATCAATACATATTTCTTTAAATATCGAGAAATAAAATATGTTTGGCAACACCGTACGAAATATCGCCGCGCGTAGTCCTCAAAATTTAAAATATTAGCATTTTCAGGCTTCGATTATGTTCAAAAGCGCCACCGTATGACAAATCACTAAAGCTTCCACACGAGAGTTCTTAAAACTATAATATTCTTTGGTCCCAGTCAACAAACCTATAAAATAGTATTTTTGATTTATGTAATATAACTGTTATTGAAAAATCATATTATTGTTGTCTGTTGGCTGATGGAGAGTTACTCCAGGAGAGATGGTTTTAAGTCCAGAAGATTCACATCCGCTATAGTTGCTTTAATTGAAGAAGATTGAAGAGATAAATCGCCAGTTTTCCAAATTTATAATATATTGCGCCTAAGGAACGAACGTACATAGAAGTGAACGGACTATAAGAAGAAGATTAAACGAAGCAACTATTATGTCAAGAAGGCCTGCTTCGGGACCGCAACTTTAGGTATAGAGCTAGGACCATACAAGGACCTGTAAACATTACGAAAAAATGTCAGTCTTTTCTTCAAAAGTGAATATCTCCAACAAAAATAAAGCTATTGAGATGAACCAAAAAAGAAACTATCGAGAAAGGATGTACCTATATAATAAAGATTTTTAAATTCCTTGCCGTTTTAACATATTCCACAAGTTGTTTCAAACTTTTAAAAAAATATCAACATTTTTTTCCCTCGTTTAATTGACAAATGGGAACTTTAATTTTTAATTTACAAAGAGATACTAAAAAGTCAAATAATTTAACTACATGTTTCTTAAAAACCATCAAAATCAGCCCACTAGAACAAAATATCTTTAACTTTAAAATACATCAAAATTTTAAGGTGTCCGTTTTTCGTATTTTTAAACCCGTTCAGGGTGGGAAATACTAAACTTATTAAGTAAACTATTTAAATTTTAAAATTCTTCTAGATTTATCTATCTCTGTAAAATAATAAATATTACATAATTGAGAACTAATAAAAACCGCAATATGACGATCTTTATCCGATAAACCTTAAACCCGTCTATTCTTGGCGCCTTATTAATTAAAATCCTATCCTCTGCGTTTCCTCGATGTCACCCTAGCATCGGGGGGCCGGATATCTTGAGCCCCTCTTCTGGACTTCGGTTTCAGCGCCATCACACCATCGTCATCCACGCTGCGAGGCGCATCACCAGTTACCCGTCCAGTTTTGTCCGCTAATCACCACCGCTAGATCGCTCACACATTCAAGATTACTAAGTTAAAAGTTACCAAATGCAACCAAATTTATAATTTCAGTCCAATGACTATCTAGTCAGCATGTTTATTTTTCTAAAAATGACATGTCGTGATAATTTTCATTTACATTACTTCAAAACAGTTAAAAACATGTAGGTGACGGCTCGTATAAGTAGGAGTCATATTGACATCGAAATCAAGTTTCGTGTCAAAAAACACCCAGATATGAATCGTCATCCTAACATCAACGTTAGTAGTTAGTTGGAAATTATTTAAAAAATATCGAAATAAAAAGGAAACTTATACACCCTTTATCTCCAAAACGAAGCATTTATTTTTATCTGCAGAGTGTGCTGCCGAAGTTTCCCGAATATAATTCGGACCTGCCTGAATAGGCACTAAGGCTTAAGAGTCTTACTAGTCCGAAAAAGTGGCAAAATAAGCGTTTGGCATTTAACGTTTTATTTAAAACTGGCTAGGTATTTTTACACAAATCGTCACCCTAGAATAAGATTGTTCTATAGACCATTTCGATGAAACTGAGAAAACAAGGTTTAAAGTTTAAACTGGATATCCGTGAACACTATATACCAAAATGGTTCTATTAAACATTTAAATTAAAGATAATATAAAAACCTATCAAACATATGTATTTATTTTACTTTTAGAAGCTTTATTTAAAAGATATTAGTGATTTTAGATTTGGATATAGAACAAAGTGCATTTAGCCGATTTTAGGGATATAGAACAAATTAAGGGGATATAGAATAATATAATACTCATTTTAAGCTGATTTATTTGTATTTCAAAATATTATTTCAACACAAAATATCTGAAGTGGAGACATTAAGACACTAACTAAAAACAACATAAAAAAATAATAACCTAAAATACAATAGTAGTAATTATTCGTTTGCATTGTTTATTAAAAACTATCATTTTTTCTGCCTATTTGTTTGGTATGTATAGTGTTAGAATAAGTTATTCAGATTTTAAATCTGATTTTTAACTTTCATTGGATTATTTAAATGTTTTTTTCGGCTATCTCTAGTATTGATAGTATTAGAGAACGATTGAGCAGTCAATTGAGTTGAAGCAGCTGGTTTCACAAAATTCCAAAGTGGAAACATTCGAATTTGCTAACAAATCAGGCAATCAGTGCTTTTCAAACGAACGATTGAGTGGTCAATTCAGTTGAAACAGCTTCACGAAATTCCAAAGTGTGAAACATTCGAATTTGCTAACAAATCAAGCAATCAGTGCTTTTCAAACGAACGATTGAGTAGTCAATTGAGTTGAATCAGCTGGTTTCACAAAATTGCAAAATGTGAAACATTCGAATTTGCTAACAAGTCAGGCAATCAGTGTTTTTCAAAGAACGATTGAGCAGTCAATTGAGTTGAAGCAGCTTCACGAAATTCCAAAGTGTGAAACATTCGCATTTGCTAACAAATCAGGCAATCGGTGCTTTTCAAACGAACGATTGAGTAGTCAATTCAGTTGAAACAGCTTCACGAAATTCCAAAGTGTGAAACATTCGAATTTGCTAACAAATCAGGCAATCAGTGCTTTTCAAACGAACGATTGAGCAGTCAATTGAGTTGAAGCAGCTGGTTTCACGAAATTGCAAAGTGTGAAACATTCGAATTTGCTAACAAATCAAGCAATCAGTGCTTTTCAAACGAACCGATTTACCGCCTATTTGACAAACGAACGTTTAGTGGTGCAATTTCACCCGCTTAAAACAAATGCCTTAAAGTTAAATAAAAACAGATACATCCATTGTATGTTAGAGAGAAAGAGATCGAGAATAAATGGATATAGAACAATCTAATTTTTATGCATAGTAACATATTTTTTGATCTGGTATTTTCGTTCAATATCCATTTCTTAGGATAAAGAACACAATAATTCTATTTTTTTTACTGTAGCCTTAAATAGTGATTTTTGGATGTAGGCCATTATATGGTTTCGCGACTTTCAAATTAATATGGATATAGTACAAAGTACTAGATTTTTTTCTTTGTTTATGAATTTGGCTATATTGTTTTTGTGGAAATAGAACAAGCTAATTCTGCATAAAAAAATGGTGTATGTAACTAATTTTACCCAAAAGTGGATATAGAACAACCTAATTCTAGGGTGACGAAATGAAGAAGGCAATTAAAGATAAAGGATTACACTATATTCATATTGTAGCACATTTTTAGACAACTTCTGTGTTCTTAAGATTTTGATGGTCAAACATCAACAAAATATTCCTTATGTTTTGACTAAATTTTCTCAGAAATAAAGACAATTTAAAATTCCGTTACAATACGGATATAGACTGTTTACATACTATTTCTCGAGACAATTTCATATGCTAGACTTCCAGTAGGTAGGTAGAAGTAAGTAAGAAGAAAGTTAAACGAAACAAATGTTATGTCAGGAAGGCCTACTTTATAACTACAACTTACTAGGGCTGTTGACTAGGACCAAAAGCAAAGGCATGGTTTTAATGTAAAAATTACAAAAAAATTTTGGTGTCTTCTTTAAAAGCAAATATTTCCAACAAAAAGAAGGCTATTGAGACGAAGCAAAAAAACTATCAAAAAAGGATGAACATAGATGATAAAGTGATGGTGATTTTTAAATTTCTAGCTGGTTTTAACATATTCCACAAACTGTTTCAAACTTTCAAAAAAATCAAAATTTTTTCCTCGTTTAATTGACAAATGAAACTTTAGTTTTTAATTTATAAAGAGATACTAAAAAGTCAAATAATCTAACTATATATTTCTTAAAAAACATTAAAATTGGCCCACTAGAACAAAATATATTAAACTTTACAATACATCAAAATTTTAAGATGCCCGTTTTTCATATTTCTAAACCCTCTTTCAAGATGGTTAGAGTGTAAACTTGTTAAGTAAACTATTTAAATTTTAAAAGTCTTCTAGGTTCATTTATTTCTCTAAAATAATAAATAATACATAATTGAGAACTAATAAAAACCGCGATATGACGATTTTTATCCGATAATCCTTAAACCCGTCTATTCTTCGCGCCTTATTAATTAAAATCCTATCCTCTGCGTTTCCTCGATGTCACCCCATCATCGGGGGGCTGGATATCTTGAGCCCCTCTTCTGGACTTCGTTTTCAGCGCCATCACACCATCGCCATCCACGCTGCGAGGCGCATCACCAGTCACCCACCGCACCGGTCGTTTTAAAATTTGCTGTTTTGTCCGCAAATCACCACCGCTAGATCGCTCACACATTCGGGATTATTCAGTTTTGTCCAGATAATTTTTCTCTCCTAGAAATGTTGTAGTAGTGCAGCGAATAAATAGTCCGGTTTTAGTGGAGTTACGAAAATATAGAAGTTTCAGAAAGTTAAGTAACTTAACGGTAAATATTTTTGTTTTATTTAATTTGTATATTCTTAGTGTATTTTAATTACTCTGTTTTCTATTTTAAATTATTTCTTAATTCGTTTTATTCTTTTCTAAAATAAAGGTAAGTTCAGAACTTATTTAAGCTCCTGTCGCACATTTTTCTAGTCGATATCAGTATTTTTTTTCAAAATTGGGGTCTTGAAATGAGACTAAAAATATTGTTTTTTATTATAGTTTATAAACTACACTTTTGCAAAATATAATTTATTTAAAACATACCTACTCATTTTCTTTGTTATTAATTTTTAATGTCGAAAATCTACTAGAGTTAACTCTAAAATATTTTGTTGCGAGATTAGATATTTTTATAGAGTCTAGCAACATTTTTTGAATATGTGCGATATGTAAATAAATAAAGTTCAGTTTAAGTAAATATTATTTCAGTTAGTATACAGGATAAGTCTTACATAAGTGCAAATATTTTTAGAGGTGGTATATGTCGAAGACAGAAACACATCTATGAGTTATTTTTTGCGAAATTTTGTGAATACTTTTAAAAAAAATTGTATCTTTTAACTTCTAGTTAAAAAATATAATATCTCCATAATATGGCGACATAGATAGTATATTAAATTTACAAGAAAGAAAACCCAGAAAAGGTCCGGTGTCTCTCAAAATTTAACCGAAATATCAATTTTTTTTCAGATTTTCAAAGTAGAATATCTCGTCTATTTTCGTCTTATTTGAAAAACGGTTCATGGAGATCTACCAGCCCTGAACATATTTAATATTTACACTTACTTAAGACTGACCCTGTATTTAGAGGGTTGCCCATTAGTGCGAGGAAGTCCAATATCGTCGTTGTTGTCGAAGAGTTTGTATACGATTGTATGTACTATGTATGTATGTTGCCGAAGATAATATGACAAAAGTATTATATAAATGCTGGATGGTTTATAATCGTGCACACCCTCAAAGTATTTTGTTGTCTACAGGGTTTCCTAAAAAAAATATAATGTTTTAATTTTTGTAAATTGCCACGCAATATTATAATACAGAATTAGACTCAGCATATAGTACCTATTTTTATTTGAAGCACTATGAGGTGCTACCGTTCTATTTCTTAAGTACTGAAACTTTGGTTAAAAACACTAGCAAAAACCATTAGTAGTTTTCCATTTAAAAGGAAAATAATATACAGGATGGTGTATTTACAAGAAAATGAAATATACCATTTTAAATACCGCATTCTTGGCGACGCCATTTAAAATACTCTCTATAAGGTAATGGAAACTTACCTTCGTAAAATTAGCATTATCCATTTTCATTTGTTTCATTATTATTATGCATTTCTCTCGGCATTTCCTTTAACAAAGGTTTCTAACGAAAAATAAGAAATAGAATGGCAGCAATGCTGTGGTTCAAATGAAAATAGTCTAGATATTATATGTTGAATTCTATACCGAATCCAATTCTGTGTAGAAAAATGTGGGTTAAAAAAGTTTCATATCATGAACAACGACGATATTGGACTTTTGCGCATTAATAGGCCACCCTGTAATCTAGTAGATGTGTAAAATCATCAGGTGCGTTGATATTATTTTTTATTTTTATGTATATACAGGGCATATAAAAAGTTTGTAATTAACAAATAAATATTTAACATGATTTTATATACAGAGTGTCTTGAAAACGTGGCAAGTAAAAAAGTGCAAGTATTTTGAAGTGTGGTAGATCTGGACAAAAAAAACATATTGTCTATTTGTCATTTAAAAAAAATAAAATAACCGTTATAAAAGTTATTTAACTTTGAAATTAAAAAAGAAATAATGCTACATTTTCAAAACCGCTGGCATCAATCAGCAACGATTTGTGTTGCCATGGGACCACAAAACTATTTACTATATCTTTATTGAAATCATAAATACCTACCCATTCAACATACATACCCCATTCTGAATAATTAAAAAAATAACTGAAACATATTTTATCTTAATACGCGTTAAAAAATATGTACTACATTGGTTTCTTTCTAGAATTATTAATACCCAATGCCACTGCAATAATAAAATTAACTTTTTTACCTTATTGCGTAGAAATTTAAAATTAATCTGAACCTAAAAGCTCAAAGATGTAGATGGTAGCAGAAGTAATGTAGGAAACCGAAAGGCTTCGATACACCGTCAAGCAAATTAAGGAGAATAAACCTGTAGCACCAAAAAGTTATTTTAAATATCTGGGATAATCGGAAAATGCTACGAAAAATGTGAAATTTTAACAATTTTTTGGCAAAAAATGGTTTTGTAACTGGGGTCGAACTATACTACCTTTTAAATAGTTGCACTTATTTAAAAATCCACCTGTATAAAATAATTGGCAGTTTTATATTAAATAATAACCACAATATACTATTAAATAAAGATATAATAATATATATGAATATATGTAATAATACTAACAAACGTTTTAATGGCAAATATTTAATTTGCAAAACAATATATTATACTAAATGTATTTCTTTCTTTTTCAGTTAGGTTATAGGTTTTTATAAATCACGTAGGTAGTTAATCACATTAACTTCACATATCTTACACCTCTACGATAATTTATATTCTTTATAACGTTAAACAATTAGTTACAAGATCATAATAAATAAATATCAGAGTGTCTAGGATATACTGTTTTATCGTTTAAAAATAATTTTAAACATTAAAATGATATTCCACGATTTGCCGACATTAGTATGCACGTGATCTTATAAAAACTATATAGCACAAATGTTATTGTAGTAATTCTCGCGTGGAAGTATTTATCTACAATGTAGATAATACGTAAATCAGTCTATGGATACCAAAATATAGTAAATATAAACACCATTTATATTTAATTAATTTGTCTATTAGAATATAAATACGCAGGGTGACGCACCTCATTCGCCACGGTTGATTATACGAAAACGGAAAGATGTAGAAACACAATATATATATAGGTAGGATATTTTATAGGTATATGTGAAATTATTTATGGAACACCCGGTATTTTATTTCATTTTTTGGATTCTTGGACATAAAAAAAGGCATTTATTATAAGGGTTTAATATGCTTAAAAGCTTTGGTTTTTGAGATACTTAAAGATATTTAAATATCCATGCTATAGTAAAAAAGTTTGTCAACACCTTGTACATTACTTTTCAGAATTAATTCTTGTGCTGACTTTCAAGCCAGAGAAATAAACATTACTAAAAAATTTATTGCATCCTTAAATGCATACAGGGGTATCAAAAAATGCTGGTCTATTTTAAATATTTACTTTACATAAAAACTTCGTTTCTGAAAAAAAAATTCAAATAAAACCCAAGTAGCAAATTTTATTTTATAAAGGATGTATAAACAGTTATGTGATCATTTTTATAGGATACCTCAATTCATATAACGTGCTATAAGACCGTAATATGATAGCTTTACAACCAAAAAAGGCCCATTTTTATACAACCGTTTAGTAGTATAAAAGTTCTATAAAAATGGTATACAACTCTTATGCAACTATTTTACACACGTTATATAACTATTATAAAACTAGTTTTATTGTGTATTACGTGGTCACATCTAAGAAACAGAACATTTGATCATTTAGCGAGGTAAAAGAGTATTTTATTTTTTACCGAAGAATATTAGGAGCAAATTATATTTTAAGCGTGTCATAAAATGAATCTAGAGGATGTGGATTGTTAAAAAGGAGACTTTACTCGACGGTGAAAATGGCGGGTAGAGCCAGAAGGTACAGCAAATATGTAATATAAAAAATCATTAATAGGGTTTGAAAAGTAGGGACAATTTTTGTTGCGCCGAAAATTTTACTGGTAGATTATAGGTATGTATTTGGCAAAAAATTAAAGCGCTTTAATTTCGATTAAGGTTTACGTATAAATTTAAACAATAAAATAAAATAAAATTTTCAAAAATTCTTGTTTTTAATTTAATTAAACAGTTTATTACTGTATGTGGGAATCTTATCACAAAATAGTTCTCAAAAATAACATTTTACAATTTATTTTGATGTTTTTAATTTTGCTTCATATAATGGCGGCCATAGGCCATACAAAAATTCGGCCTTAAACATGGCGAATTATAATGCAACCATTTTATTATAAATGAATCCCTTAAGTAAGTCTTTGTTGTAAAATAAAACGGTATAGGATAAATATCTATCATTACGCAGAAATTCCAGGCACTATAAAACTATTTTTGACATATTGAGATTTGTGACAAATAGATGTTGCCAAATCTCATTTGATTAGTATTTAAACTAACAAACATGATCAGGTTTTCATGGATTCATGCATGCCCGACGAGTGAGCGGCAACCTAAGAACTTGGAAAAACAACAATAAAACAATATAAACATTATTATTACTACAGTAAAACTTTTACATCAACGTGGCAACAATGCTTTGAAGAAGCCACACAACCCGAGAGATTTTGGCATTTGGGAACCCAGGGTATTCTCGGGATTATTTGCCGTAATTTCGATGAGTTTTTTCTTACATGTTCTTTATAACTACCACTGCGTTTGTTAACTTTTTTCCAACTTTGTCCAGAATTCATAATAGCTGTGATTGATTATACTCGTACGTAGATATTACTTTTGCAACAACAACAATAATAAAATAAATAACTAAGTATACCATTTAATTTAAAATGAGGTTATATTATACATTACCAGTTTTATAATGCAGATATTACAGCGAATTTATTTTGTTAATCACAATTTTATCATATAAGGCTATATAACTAGTGTTGTATACAGCACCGTAGTTTAACGGAATAAAACATTCTATCATACAACGTAATACAACTTTAATAAGACAAGTTTAAGTAACTATTATATGATCTTGTGACTACTAGTTATATGAATATAATAGAACTCTTACATGGTGGGTATAAGAGTCTAATAAAATAATATGTTTGTTGTCATATAGCATTGTCTTATTAAGTTTTATATCATACTAAAAGAAATTATGGTTTAATGCGTTATAGGATACGTTGTAAAAACCACTAGAAAATAGTTTAATATGACAACTTTTATTAAAAAACAGAATGGTGGAAACCAACGGCTTAATAAAATCAAGCAGTCCTTAAGACAACGCTATTCGACTCTTATAAAATAATTCAATCCTTTTAGAACTTCTTTTTGCTACTTGGGAACAGAATGTAATTTTTTGAATAAGTCGAAGCAGATTTAAATGCTCTTTCAAACTATATTAGGGTTTCCTATACCTATCCGGCTCAGATTTTGAATAAAAAGCGATTTTTAAATAAAATTGCAATCAAGATGGCTGGTGTCCCCATGGCAATTTTCTAGTGATAGTTGGTATCTATTTTCAAAATCGACATTAGTTTATGGACTTTATTTAAATTTATAACGGGTTATTTTTATTTAATTTACCTACAATAAGGTTAATAAGAAAGTATTTATTATTTTATCAAGAAAAATCAAGCAGTATCTGCTGGCGGAAGGAATGGATATGTTACTAGTGATTTTATTTTGGGACCATTGTTTGTTGGCCTAAAGGGTTTTTGCTCAAAGATATCCAAATAGGAATCTTGACAAGCGTTCCATTGAAAAACTACTATTCCTATTTCGCAAAGTTGATGGTGTGGTATATGAAAAATCTATTAGGCAGAAACCTGTCGTTGGCAGTGAAGAAAATGAATTTGCTTTAATTGGCCCTTTTATAGAAAATCCAATATATCTACAAGTCATCGTAATATATGTAACTCAAAGAACTACTTTTTTATTTTTCTTGATAAAGTAATAAATACTTATTAAACTATTGTAGGTAAATTAAATAAAAGTTAACTGTTACAAATTTACATAAAGTCCATAAACTAATGTCGATTTTGAAGAGCTACTAACTGTCACTTGCAAATTGCCATGGCGACAATAGCCATCTTGATTGCCATTTTATTGAAAAATAGATTTTTATTCAAAATCTGAGCCAGAAGGTATAAGAAACCCTATTATAGTAGAAAGAGCATTTAATCTGCTCCGACTTATTTTAAAAAATACATAGTGTTGTATTTCAAATAACGAAGTTTTTATGTAAAGTAAGTATTTAATATAGACCAGCACCCAGCTAACAAAGTTGTTCTATAAATTTAAGCTAATAGAACATTTATATCCTATTAAAGTTTTATAGATATATCTAGGACACTAAATTACTGTATTAATGGAGCATATGAGACTATTTTGTTTTCAAGAACTGAATTGTTCTTTAAACTCATTGCAAGAACGTTCTTAGGGCATATATCAAAACCAAAGCATTTAAACATATTAAACCCTTATAATAAATGCCTTATTTTATGCTCAAGAATCCAAAAATGAAATAAAATAACGAGTTTTCCCTAAGAAACAATATTACTTTGGCATGGATCTTAGTTCTGACACACCATGTACATTTCAAAATAATTTTAAATTATGCACATTGCCTCTATACATATACCCATAAAAATGTGGTTTCTACATCTTTCCGTTTTCGTATAATCAACCAAGGCGAATTAGGTGCGCTACACCCTGTATATGCATTTTCTTTAAAGTTTTCACTATACGCAGTTTTTCCTTAATTACTATAATTGGGAGTATATAAAAATACCAGATGAGATCCACATTACAAGAAATAATCTAATTAATTACTAAATCAATTAAAAACTCAAAAATTCCATTACAGAATTGAAATTTCTCAACGAAGACCATCACCGCGGTTGAGTCCAATTAGACTGGACTAATCAATCATCGAATTTAGGACCCTTTTAAGCCTACAACGAAGATATTTATTGTCTTCGGCCCCTGTAACATTCATGGAGTAATTAGACCAAAGCGAATATGTCGCACGTCTACGACAATATTCCATTGAAACCCTTCAAAAATGATACTGTGGAGATTTCGCAGCAACAACAGCATCAGCAGCAACAAATATCAGCCAAAATCAAGACGATTCAGAATAATTTAAACCAAGAAGAGGAAAGGAAAAGGAAGGGATCTGAAGATGTGACCAGAAGTTGTAGTTTGAAGACTCAGAAGAAACCGAAATCAACTAGAAGTCTCTCGGAAATGTTTTTCAAAGGTAAATTACTATTTTTTGTTTCCAATCTTTTATTTGCTATAATTGTCATATACAGTATACAGGGTCGCTTTTATGTATGGAAACAGTCGATTAATTATTAGGTAAAATATAGGAGGTACCGCAAAAAGTTAAATACAAAAGTTATAGGATTTTTAAATCTATTAGCGAGTAATAAATTTAAGTATACAGGGTTGTTCATAAAGTCGTAACACATCAAAGTTTATTTTTTTTTAATAGAACCCCCTGTATATTATTACATATTTCAATTCGAAGCAAAAATTGAAGTACACAAAATCGACACAAAATGTACCTCAAAGCAACCGTTCCCGAGTTATTGACTTTTGAAAATATCACTTAAACAATTCGATTTAATTAATTTCGATGTGTTAGGTTTTATTTAATGATGCCGTTCTGCCGAAACTGTGATACTGTTCTTCTTCTTCTTGTTGGGCCTTAGCCGCACGTTGGAGATTATCTGTACTCTTCATACAATGTGTAGAGTGCCGTTTTCGGCTCTTCGAAATATGGTGGCTGCGTCGCTGATGTTACAGCAATCCCGTATGTTTCTTAGCCAGGAATGTTGTTTCCTTCCTGGACCTCGCCGTCCCTCTATTTTTCCTTGTAGAATCAGCTTCGGAATGTAATATTTGTCTCCTCTAAGGATATGGCCGAGGTATAAAACTTTTCTTTCTTTAACTATATTAAGCATTTCTCGTTCATAACCTGCAGTTCTTAAAACTTCTTCGTTGGTGACATGTGCGGTCCATGGTACACGCAAGAGTCTCCGGAGAGTCCACATCTCGAAAGCCTCGATGCAGTTCAGGGTTCTAGAATGGAGAGACCACGTTTCTGCGCCGTATAGTAAGATGGGTCATATGTAGCATTTTACTACCCGTAGTCTAAGTGCTAGCGGGAGACTGCGTGCTAATAGGAAGTTTTTAAGTTTAAAAAATGTTGATTTTGCATAATTTGTTCTAAGTTTAACTTCCTTATCGCAGTCCCACCGTTCATTGATCATAGCACCTAGATATTTAAATCGTGGTACTCGTTTTATAATATTTCCATCCACCGTCAATGCGGTGTTGATTATAGGCTGGCGTCCTATTACCATAAGTTTGGTCTTGGTAGCGTTGATTTTAAGACCGAAACGATTTCCCATGTCCTCTTTCTTATTTATTATTTGCTGGAGATCCTCTAAAGTTGGTGCTAGGATTACCGTATCATCTGCATATCTTATATTGTTAATTGGAACTCCGTTAATCTTAATTCCTCCACTTTCTCCTTCTAGGGCCATTTGAAATATCTTTTCGACGTATATATTAAAAAGTATTGGGGACTGTATACAGCCCTGTTTGACACCTTTACACACATTGAATGTGTCTGTGGATAAATTTTTGTTAACTCTTATCTCCGCGGTTTGGTTCCAATATAGTTCCTGTATGATTCTAATGTCTTTGGCGTCTATTCCTATCTCGAGCAGTCTGTTTAGGAAAATATCGTGTTTAACGTTGTCGAAAGCCTTCTGATAATCTATGAAGCACACAAAGACATCTTGGCGTTGATCATAACATTTCAGTAGCTTGATTGAAAACAAAGCCTCTCCCGTACCCAGCCCCTTGATGAAGCCGAACTGTGTCTCTCCGCTTTTTTCCTCACATTTCGAGTATATACGAGCATGCATGACACGAAGAAAAAGTTTCAGAGCATGACTCATTAGACTTATAAGTCTGTAGTCACTACAGTCTTTTGGAGATGCCTTTTTGGGTATTGTTATAAAAGTTGATTTTAGCCAGTCGTTTGGAATTTTACCCGTATCGTATATTCGATTGAACAGATATGTGAGATGCTTTGAGTCAAATATTTTAAGAACTTCTGCATGCACGTTATCATGACCGTGGCTTTTTCGATTTTGCTTTCGACATTGCTTTCAGATTCTTCAGATTCAGAAGAACTTCAGATTCAAGAATTTCCGGGCCCGACCAGTCTTCACAATTGAGAGGCTGTCTGTCTTCTCTTTGGTCTTCAAATAATAACTGTGCATAGCTGTTCCATGTGCTGCATAGATCTACTAAAATCAATTTCCCATTGTGTTTTAGTTGAATTCTTTAGGGCAGGTATAGGTGCTTTTTTTGTGATGCCAGTAATTTGTTTGTGTTTTCTATGAAAATTTACAGACTCGTACAGAGCATTCCACCTCTTGGCATTCTGTTGTAATGGGATACTGTTCTAATGGGATTTAAATTCCTGTCGCTACTAGTAAATTTAAGTATACAGGGTTGGTCATAAATTTGTGTCACATCAAACTTAATTTTTTGAAAATGAAATCCCCTGTATATTATTGCATATTTCAATTCTTCCTTCAATTCTAAGCAATAATCGTAATACACAATGTACATAAATTGAAGAATTGAAATATCGTTATCTGTACTGTAAACGAAAATTTTGTAATTTCCAAACTTGATATACTCTCATTTTATACATCTATAAATGCTAACTTGAGAACTAATGTCAAGTATTATTAAGTATCACAGTTTTGGTAGAATGGCATCGTTAAATTAAACTGAACATATCGAAATTAATTAAATCAAATTGTTGAAGTGATATTTTCAAAAGTCAATAATTAAGTGATATTTTCAAAAGTTAATAAGTCGGAAACGGTTGGTTTGAGGTTCATTGTGTGTATTTCGATTTTTGCTTAGAATTAAAGGAAGAACCGAAATATGCAATAATACACAGGGCGTTCTATTTAAAAAAAGAAACGTTGATGTGCTACGACTTTATGACCGACCTTGTATACTTAAATTTATTATCCGCTAATAGATATTTATAAACCATATAACTTTTGTATTTAACTTTTTGCGGCACCTCCTATATTTTACCTAATAATCGACCGTTTGCATATACATAACAGCGACCCTGTATATAGAAAGTACAGAAAGAAATATTATATATAGTATTATATTAGCATTATATATATTGAATAATCTATAAACAATATAAACATATACCGTGTGGTGCATCGGATCACGGGACATAGGAAATTTTGAAAATTGTCAAATATTATCTCCCCAGATGATTTTATGCAAAAATTGTATTAGACTTTTTTGAAGAGGTGTTAAAGTTGTACTTTCGTCTAGAATTTCGTTTTATTTGAATAGGCATCTAAACGTTATTTGCAAAAATCTGCCTTCAAATTACAAAAAATGTATAATACGACCCAGAGAAAGCTAGAATTAAAATACCAACAAAAAGTTAATGTTGTTATTGTCAAATTCGATATCACATTTCATTTACAAGAATTTATGTTCTCTGGAAAGTATTGTTAATTTTTTGCTGAATTGGAACGATCGTCTACAAAATAATTAGTTGAAATGAGAATATTATTGGCGGTGTATGACTTGTTTCCTGTTTCCTGTTAATTTCTCGATCACTCTCACGGCCTTGCCCATACCACATACACACAACCACAATAATTTAAGAAATCAACGAAATATTTGTAACTAAAGAAACTTTATTAAACAAATATACTAATTAATAAAATATTCACATATTCACAGCCAAACAATATCGAAAATGATTGTAAAATTTACGCCTCAAAATACAAAGTTATTAAGGGGAGAATCTTTAACATTCCACAGAGATGTAGTCTTCACTTCATCTAATATAATATAATTTATGTCATATACTAACATAGGTACCAAATCTCGTTTTTTTATCTGAACAAATAAAAAAGTTATAGGGATGAGCCACTTTCGAGACGCAGCCGGTATTTATCTTCATTATTTACTCTAATATTATTTAAAAGATTTTATTAAAAGGTCATATTTTATTAGTAGGCCGTGATTGTTAATAAAAGAAACAAAAGAATTATTAGAAGTATACTGCTTTATTCTGTGTCTTATTTTATTTTGGGAGCTACTAATATATTCTTTATATATCAGGAAAACTTAACACCTTACCGCATTGTAAATCTTAAAAGCTATCTTACAGGAACTTTTAGAGAATATTTTTTTAGCTAATTTACGTGAAATATACTTTTAGCAAGAGGGGGCTCCAGCTAACAACTTTGAAAATATGAGAATTTTTTAAATAAATATTTTCCAAATCGATGAATTTGGACCAATGGACCTATACGATGGTCTCCCACATCCCTGGATTTGTCCGTTGTCGATTTCTGTGTTTAGGGATTTTTGAAAAATTAAATATATCGTAACAACTATATTATTTAGGCAAGCTTATCCCGTTATAAAAAAAAATAAAATATATTCAGATATTCAATGGTAACAGTTTAACAGCAAAATATTTTAATCGCCAATCAAATTTTGATATGTGTGTATGAATATTTTAGTAAATACCATTTTGATTTTTTTATTTTCTATCACGAACTGCTAATAAAAAAATATATTTTAAATATTGCAGTAAATAGTGAAAATAAATATAAACTATTATATGTTTTTGAGAAGATCATAGCAAACCAGATCATATGATTTATAAATATATAGGGTGTTCCATGTGAGAAAACATAACTTTAGTTCATATCCAAAAAAATATTTTTTTCGTAGAAAATCAGACTACACCACTGTATTTTACGTAAAAAGTTCTACAAAAAACACTTTTCACCTTCTCCATATCTATCATAATAACTTGGGACAATGAAGATTTTGTTTACAGCATCTTCCGTTTAATATAAAAGTGGGACAGGATTGTGCAAACCGCATCCTCCATCTACAGGGTGTGCCAATATTACATGCACATATTTATGTAGTATTATGTTATGTATATATATTTAAGAACAAAGGAAGTGCATCATGCAGACTGTGGAAATTACCGGGGAATTTCACTTTTGGCTATCGGAGGAAAAATTCTTGCAAAAATTATGTCAAATCGCCTGCACCCACATATAAAAAAATCCTTCCAGAATCGCAAACCATCCGCCAACTACAGGAAAAAGTAAAAGGGTTGAGCAGTCTAAACTTTATGTTGCATTCATCGATCTAACA